AGCCCGGCGGCCCCGCGCTCACTGTTGAGGCCGGCGGGCGGCGGCAGGGACTGCTCCCCTTCCTCGCAGTTGTTGTTGTTGTTGTGCAGGGGTGGCGGCGGCTCAACTAAGTGAGACATGGTCGGGAGACTGGGAGCGGCGCGGCCGCGGCACGACAGTATCCGGCTCTCGGGCAGCAACACAACAAGTCGAGTCCCCCCGCCCCCTTTTCTGCGCCTGCGCAGTCCCTCCCCGCGTGACATCAGGACCCTCCCGAACCACGTGATGACAACACAGGCGGCAGGGGGTGGGGTCTGAAGCGCGGAGGGGGCGTGCCCAGGCTGATCTGGGGCGTGGCATTCGAGGGCTGGTCCGGACGTGCGGGTGTCAGAGCAGCGCTCTGACTCGGGAGCCAGGAACGAATTCCTGAGAGTCAATCGCACTAGCCAGAGTGCAGCCCCGAAGCGCGGGGCGTGAACGGAGCCCCTCCCACGCCTGCATCGTACACGTAAGAACTCAACCCTGACTTTAAAGAAGCAGAAAACCCCAGTTCCTCCCCTTGGTGAAACATCCATCCGTGTGAGGACACCGTGCGAGGTACCTGGGAGCTAATCACCTTGTCGGAATTTCTGAAATTTTGATTGCAAAGGTGACATGCAATCCCAGTGAAGAAGAATCAGTAATGGCTGGGCGTGGCGCACACCTGTCACCCCAGCTCTCCCGCAGGAGGATAACGAGTTCCCTGAATCCTAGGCTATAGCGCAAGCCTTTGCCTTCAAAGACAAATTTCAAAACAAAGCAAAAAACGATTTACCCAAACCTTGACACTTATCTATCTCTTGAAATGACCTACCTCTTGTGTGCTTCTGACTCTGTTACTTAATGTTCCTAAATACGCCTACATCGTATCTTTGCCAAGTTTCCTTGACCTGATTTTGTATAGGGAAAGTCTCTCTCGATCCGGTACTTGTCTTTTGTTTCAGTCTGCAGAAGCTGAAGATGTTGGTGTACTTGTCCTTTTTTTTTTTTTTTTTTTCATATGGTCTGGGAGTGTCCACACACCGAGCCATTATTCTAGGACCAGCCAGTGAGATGGCTCAGCTGGTTAAAGTGCTTGCTGTGCAGACCTCGTGACTGAGTTCGTTCCCAGAACTCAGGCTAGATGGAAAGTTAACACCACAAAGTTGTCCTCTGACCTCCACATATGCACTGTGGCATGTGCCCTCCCCCTATAGATCACACACACACACACACACACCACACAATTTAAGATGTATTTTTAATTAAACACGTGTGGTGTGTGTCTGTGTGTGTGTCTGTGTCTGTGTGTGTGTTAGGGCCAAGGTGCCTTTACAGGCCAGAGGTATCAGATCGCGCTAGTGCTCCTCTTTGGAAGTTGTGAGCCACCCAAAATGGGTGCTGAAAATCGAATTCAGGTCCTTGGCAAGAGCAGCCACATGCTCTAAACTGCTCAACCATCTCTCCTGCCCACTAATAATAAACTTTTTAAAGATTATTAATTTATTGTAAAACTCTAATTCTCAGGCTTAGTTTCACATTAGATGCTCCCTTAATTCTCCTGAAATTAACTTTCATGTTGTAAATTGCCTTTGATTCTTTCCAACTTTGTACCAACCCAATGATATATATCTACCGATCTGTTTCATTTACTGGCCTTTTTGAGACAGTCTCACTTTGTAACCCACTCTGGTCTGGAACGCACTACAAAGTCCAGTCTGATCTCCAGCCTGGGCAACTTTCCCTCAGCCTCCTTTGTGTGAGCTTTTTCTCTCTCTTAGATACAAAAGACTGAATATGACACTCTAGCTTACCCTAACCACTCAGTTCTTCGCTATTTGAGATAACTCCATTACAATTCAATCTAGATAAGAAAGCAAAATATCACCAGGTGTGGTGGCACATGCCTTTAAACCCCTAACTCAGGAGGCAGAGGCAGGTAGATGTCTGTGAGTTTGAAGCCATCCTGATCAATATAGTGAGTTCCAGGAAAGCCAGAGCTACATAGTGACACCCTGTCTCAAAACAAGCAAACAAAAATGTTTGCATGAAGGCAAACATACAACCCCAGGCTTGTTCCTCAGCATTGTGGAAAAGACCTCAAAATAATGCTAATATACATTTTCAAAAACTATATAAAGGTATATAAAGAAACTTACACAGTTGGATATATACTTTTCTGAGTGCCTCTCTTTGGTGTCTAAATCTACTGAAAACTATTTTTAAAAATTATGAATATATATACATGTCTGAGTATGGGTTTGTGCATGTGAGGGCAGTACCCATGGAAGCCAGAAGGCATCAGGCACCTTTGGATCTGGAATTACAGGCAGTTGCAAGCCATCCCTCCTGGGTGCTGAGAACTGAATGTGGATCCTCTACAAGAGCAACCGGTGTGCTTAACTCCTGAACCATCTCTCCAGCCTCCATGAGAAAAAAAAAAAATCTATGAATAACCCCCAACTCTGCAAAGAAAAAAAGGGAGCCTAAGCTAGCAAAACAACTTTAAAAAATTATTCACAGATACTACTTTATTTCCAGATTTATTTACTATAGTAATCAAGACAATATAATGTTGGGGGAAACATAGACCTGTATATTAATGGAATAGTTCAGAAATAGACTCACAGGCAGATAGTCAATTGAATTTCAAGAACATTGTGAAGAAAATTATTCTCTACAACTTTCCTCAAACTTTTTGTTTTATACAACATCTCAAAAAAAAAAAAAAAAAAAAAAAAAAAAAAAAAAAAAACCTCAAATGAGTCCTAGACCTAAATGTAAACCTAAAAAGTACTAAAAATTAGTCTTTACCCCTTTGAATTCTGCAAATTTTTAAACTAAGACAGCAAAAAATACAGTCCATAAGAAAAAATGCACATAAACCATGAGATTTAAGAACTACTTTCAGGGCCTGGAGGGATGGCTCAGGAGTTTAAGCACAACGGATGCCCTTGCAGAGGACTCAATTTGTTTTAAAACACCCACAGGATGGCTCAGAGGGGATTCAATGCTGGCTTCTGGCTTCTGAGGGCATGAGACACACACATGGTGCACAGACATACTTGCAAACACTTATATGCATTTAAAAACAAAACCAAACCCTGCTCAGAGGGTAAAGATGCTTGCTACCTAGACTTATTACCCAAGTGCAATCCCCAGGGTCCACATAGTAAATGGAGAGAACCCACTCCCACAGCATCCTTAGTCCTCCACATGTCCACATGTTCACTGTGATGTCCACATACACAAACAAATAAAATGTAATAAAAATCAACTTCAAGGTCTCTTTTCTAGATAGTGTTATATTTATAAAAGAACTATTCCGGTATAAAAACATTCCTTTGGGTTTTCTCGTTGTGGAATAATTTCATTTTGTTTAAAATTTTTTTTTTTTTT